TTCCCTTAAACAAGAAGAACACCCCATACCACATCTGGCTTTGTCCCTCTCTCTCCCGTGCTTTCCTCATCCTGCTCTCCTCCGTCGTCCGTGCTTTCTACGGTGTTCTCCTCATCCTGCTCTCCTCCGTCGTCCCTGTTCTCTCCTCCACCTTACCAGCATCGTCGTCTTCTTTCATAACACAGCAGGTGCTCTGCCTTTCAATTCTTCTACTCTATTAAATCATCTTCTGGTTCGATTTCTCCATCTTTGCTCTCATAAGCCAAGTTCAATTTTCAACAGGCTTCGACCTAATTGTTTTTGTAACCCTTCTCTTTTTACCGATTCAGTAGCTTTAGGGACCCCTTCAATCGATCTCTGTTGATCATTCTCTATTCAAGGTAACTGTAATGGTTTCTGTTTTCAAGGTATCGATCTCTTGCTTGTGGTTTATCGGTTTACAGTGGGTTTCGACCCTAATGGTTTATGTATCATACTTGCTTTGCCCAGTGAAGTCTTCAATCTTTTCTTTTTGACATGTCCCATTGAAATAGTTTTTATGTTAATTATACCTGTTTTCCAATTATCATCAAGACATATAAACTGATATTAGTCTTGGTTCACAATCTTTTGCTTAATTATCATTCATATTTGAATATTAATATCCCAGCTGCTATGGTAGCAATGAGGACCCATAGTGCACAAAGGAAGAACCTCCAATTCAACCAGTAACTCAGGGCTGTTGTATCAGCCATTAATGGAAATTTAGTTTAGTCTTGATTCATGACCGAATGTTGATGGTGATATAAAGGGATGGACAAAAATTCATTTTATGTTGAGGTCTTTGAAACTTTCTAATTCACTATATTGTATGGCCCTATATTCTATATATATTCAAATCAAAAAGGAAAGTCGTATATTTTGCCTCGCTTATTTGCTTCTCGGTGCGAAATCAATTCACCGGTGTACTTTCCAAGAAAGTCATTTTTATTGACAGAGTTCTAGGGAGAAAAAAACAAGATTTTGTGAAGTTCCAAGAGACCAATTGAAAACAATCACTGAAGGTTGACTTCATTCCTACCTTCAGAAATGCTCCCCAACCAGCAACATTAGATTTATCAAATTTGGTTCAAATCAATCTAAGCAGAAGCATGGAAAAAACATGTTTAAATCGTAATGAACACAAAGTAATTTCAAATAAAAATAATCACCTATGAGCCCTTCAAACCTGTTTAAACCACCCTCTACATTTCGCCACATTGGCTTCAGAGTTTCCAGCCGATAACAACTCCGTTGAGTTACTGGTTCTACTATTACCTTCCATGAGGACGTTCTAACGATACAATAACTTAAATTAGTTTTACTATTACCTTATAATGCTAGCTCACCAGTCATGAAGTTCATTTCTCTATTCTGCGAGAGGTTACATCTTTAATTCCTGCAATATAGTTCGTTTTTGTATTGTATCTTTCATCTTAGATCTAAAATTATWRMATTAT